CTTGGGGCAGGTGCTTGCCCCCCCCCGTGCTTCCCGCGGGGTCTCCCGCTCCGAGGTGCACGGGTGGAGGGCTCATCTACCAGACTCTGGCCCCCTGGTGGGCTTTGGTAGCACGGCGACACTCCCATCCCTGCGACCCTCGGGGGGGGGGGGGTCGTCCAGGTGGGAACCCCCTTCCCCACGCTGCCAAAGTGCTCCGAAGTTACGGTCCCGCCTGTTCCCCGAGGGCACCCGCAGGTGCTTCCTCCGGGCCTGAGCAGGGACCCTCCGCCACGACTGCCAGCCCACGGACGGGCCCCCAGGGAGCACCAGGGCCCCCCCAGCCGCGGAGGGCAGCGCCTGCAGCCGGGCCTGGAGCCCCGACCCCGCCCCGGTTGCCTGGGCCCGGCCTCCCCTCCATCTCCCTGGGGAGGGCGCCTCATTCCTGCCCTTCACTTTGCCGTTACCTTGAAGGTATTTATAGGTGGAGAGAACAGCCCCCCCCACCCCCAATCTCCCCGGCCTCCCTAGGGTCCTCATTTCTGGACCAGGAGCCCAATCAGTCCCTTTTGCCCACAAACTAGACCTTGGGAGGGAAGGGTGGATAAAGAAACCCAGGCTGGGTGTGCATGAGGGGTAATGTTGGGAAAAGAGCAGGGCTTAATTCTGGGGTCACTTGAGGTTGTATGTGAGGGTGAAGGGGTTAATGCTAGAGAACCCTAAGGTCATGTGGCAGGGGGGTTGGAATGTGGGAAAGGTGCCCTGGTAATCTTTGAGGCATGGGGGGGGGGAGGGAGTGTCTCAGGACAGTGTATAGGATCAGAGGGTAAAAGTGGCTGGATTCATGCTGAAGCATGGGCATAAGTGGACCATATGCATGTGCATGGAAATGTGGGGACAGTTGGGGAAAGTGCAGCTTTGTGTGAATGAAGGGAGGCACTGGAAGAAATTATAGCATTCATGGTGGAAGAAAGCAGGGTGCTGAGTGCATGTGTAAAGATGAGGTAAACTGAGGCAGTTAGGTTCTGTGTAAAAAGGGTTGTTTTTTTTTTTTTTTAAAGATTTTATTTATTCATACAGAACTGGGGTACAGGCCAGAGATGCGGAGCATGAGAGGATTCACCAGGGACAGAGTGGGGAGAAGAACAGGCAGATCAATGAAGTACACTGCTGAGGGGAGCAGCGGGCGGGTCAGGAGAGGTCTGCCTCACCATGTGGATCTCCTTGGGGCAGTGGGGATCGAACTCATGTGGAAGTGGCTTAAGCTTCTTAGTGCTGTGCTTTAACCCGCTGCGCCACCAGGGAGGACCTAAAAAGAGTTTTTGATTGGAAGACTGAGGCTTATTGAGAGTGATGACCATCCTGGATATAATATGTATGAATAGGAATTCAGAACCATTAATTAGCTCACCTGAGCTCAGATGTAAACTGAGAAAGAATTATAAGGGTAAGGACTGAGGCTTGCAAGAAGGAGAAACTGAAACAGTTTCCTCTCCTACCTCCCCTAAGAACTTCTCTTTCCCCTCAGATCTACTATGCCTCACTGAGCCTACCTCGTAGCTGAGTGGAGCCAAGCAAAGAGCACCCATGGATGGACCCCTGGCAGGTGGCCTGGCTGCCCCTGATCGTCCTCGTGGCCCTGAGAGACTGCCTGGCCCAGCACCAAGGGAAGACATTAAAGGTGGAGCTGAGGCTGCTGAGGGGGAAGGTGGCATCTTTCGATCCACCTACTACCTGCCTGTCACCAAGGAGGACCCCCAGGAAATTCTGGATGGCAGAGGTGGCATTTCCGGTAAGAGGGTGGGTGGGCCTGTGACCCTGGGGGAGCATCCAGCTTGGTTCCTGAGGATCTGGGAGGGTCAGGTTATCCAGTCCAGCAGGTGCTAAGTTGAGATTCTAATTGTGCTTGGGTCCAGAGCCTTCTCTTTGTAGTGTGCTCACAGTTCCATTTCTGTTGTGAAAACAGAAGCCCCAGGAACCAATGATCTGACAGAGGTTGCCCAGTGGGTGGTGAGGAGCTGGGACTTGAACTTAGGTCTGTCTGACTCCCTCCTCAGGGCACATCACTTGGATCCAAGTGTCCAACTTAGCCTGGCATTCTCTGCCCCAACTCTGTTCTCCAGGCTATCCCCCTCCCTCTGATTGGACTGGGCCGGAGCACCTTGTGCCCTCTAGTGGCTGGGAAAGACTGGATAATCAGATACTCAAGTTAGACCTCTGTGCCTTGGTTTACCCAGAAAAAGGGGCTCTTACACTGTTTCCAACTCAAGTCTTGTTCGTCTTTCATTAAACACTTAGTACCTGCTATGTGCCAAGCTCTGTTCTAAGTGATGGGGGGAGAGTGCCTTCCCTTAGGGACCTGACATCTTAATAGGGGCCACAGACAACAAGCAATTAAATAAATAACACAAGGGTGGACAGTGACAGGTCTGAAGGAATGGGTGATACCTTCCTCAGGCGTTGGTATTTGAGTGGAGCATGGAATGAATGGTTGGAAGGGCAACTCAGGTGAAAAAATAGCAGGCGCAAGGGCAAAGCAGGAGCCTAGTGTAGCTGGAGGGCAAAGGGAATGGCACAGGCTGATGCACCAGACATTTCCCATCACCTCCTTGGTCTGCCTGAAAGACCATGGTTTCCAGGTACCCCCTACCCCTCATCAGGGATTTCCTCTATGCCACACTTTGACATGGTCATGTCATGTCATTCTCAAAAGAACCTTGTGAGGTGGTCTTGGTGATTATGATGCCATGTGAAAGATGGGGAAAGTAAGACCCTGAGAGGTCTTGCCCAAGGTGAATCAACCAGACTGGAATGTAGCTTGTCAGCCTCATTCTCAACAATCACTCTGCAATAAGGCAGGTTTGACCAGGCTCTGGTGACCCTTAGTGATACTCATGATGTGTGGACATTTACAAAGCACTTTCTTGGACTGGGCACTATATAGCACAGAGGTGACAAAGCACACACACCATCCCCACCCTCATGGACTCTGACACAGCTGCTGCAGCAGCAGAGGGGGAGATTGGGGCATCTCTGGCCCCCCAGAGATGAGGCACCTGGCCCAGTCTGTAGAGTATCCAGGAGTTTTGGACAAGGAACGGTGAGTCAAGCAAAGAGGACAGGGGGCATCAATGCAGGGGACTCTGTATTGTGGGATCTCACTGACTGGTGGCACCAGAAGGTGTCATGTGATATAGGGAAGTGGCAGGATGAGACCCCTCTGAGCAGAATGTCAGTACTCAAGGAATCTTAGTAATCCCCTCCATGAGTAACCCAGGCTCAGACAAAGGTAGGGACCATGTCCCAGCTCGCTCAGTTAGCCAGGGCAACTTAGGACCTTTACTTTATGAGAGACCTAGGACTCTGCAGATATAGGGTCCACTCTGGTTCTGAAGATTGGGCACTTCTTGACCTGGCAGATGGGAATGGTAGGTAGGTAGGTAAGTTGTGTACCCTCTTCCCAACTGGCAAGTCAACTAGGGCCCCTTGCATGTCCTTGGAGAATAGGAGAAATGTCACTATGAAGTGTTTCCCTGAGAAATGGGGTATGGGACAGGGGTGGCTTGACTTGGGGTAAGGTTGGTTTCACTTAGAGTATGCTCATGGCCTGGAGGTTGGAGGAAGGTCTGGGCTTCAACGTGGTGTCTCCCCTGCTGCCCTCTTAGCTTGCTCAACCCCCCTTCCCTGGTGTGGACACCTGCCCTATGGGTCTTGTGATGCCTATAAATAGGAACAAGCTATGGGGCTGCCATTCTACTCCAAAGCCTGTGCTCTCCCTTATGTCTGCCCAGCCTTTGGAACCCCTCAAAGCCTCTCCAGGAGTCACTTCTACTACCAAACAGCTTTACCTAGAAACAAATACATCTACTGCTTTCTCTGTCCTCCAGTGTGGCTTTGTGCCTGGAATCCCCATAGCTTCCCTAAACCCTTCCCCCCCACCCAATGTTTGGACCCTCTGCTTGGCCTGCTGTGTGCAGGGGGGCTGAGACAGTCTACATGGATTGATGGAGTCTTTGCATGCCTGGCATTGGGACCAGGGAAACAGGGGTAAACAACACATCATTTCTGCCCTCATGGGGCCCAAGACTGAGGAGAAAAATCAGAGCATGGAGTAAGCAGGCGTGAGGCTCTGGGTCCAGCCTTCAACTTCCTGCCTGGGATGTCTCCAAACTGGGACACTCCCAGAGAGGGACACCTCCCTCTCTTCCCCCAGCTGCACCTCTGTGGATGGAGAATTTACTGTGATCTCCTTGGTACCTGTCTCTGGCCCTCTAGACTGGGGTGGTGGCCATGCCCATTATCCAGAGGAGGAAACTGAGGCTCGGAACTGGAAAGGCACACCCTTCAGGTCACTTCCAGGCCTTGAACTTGCCATCTGTCTGGCTCCAGGTCTAGATTCTTGGCCACTATGCCAAGTCTTCTGCTTTGGGGTTCAAGCTTCTCATGGACACCTTTGTCATTCCTCTCTCTCATTTTCAAACCTCAGGGAACCCCAGATTGCAGGAGTCTCATTGAGGGCTCCTGGGCATGACCATTGCCTGAAGGCTGTATCCATCTGACCCATAGGGATCTCTTCTGGAACCTCACTGGCTGGCTGTGGGGGCCTCTAAGCAAGCCTCCTATCCCCCAGTCTCAAACTTGGGGCCCTGCTCGGCCTGCTTCCTCCAAAGTTGCTGCCACTAAAAATAGGAGCCTCACTGGAGCTGCTCAAACAAAGAGGCCAATACAGCCCCCTGGCTCATGGAATTCGTAGACAACCGCAATTGCAGAATCATCAAATCTGGGACACCTAGAATCTCAGGAGCTTGGGATCCCAAAATCTCAGAATGTCAGAAGCAGGACGCCTGGAACCTCAGACCTGCACCTTTGCTGTGTTAGGGGTTTGTTTCCAGTGAACTGGTTGCTCCCAGCAAGCTCATATCTGTGATTCTTGCATTTCAAGAGACCTAGTTTCTTGGGGGTCTTTCTCCCTTGGTTGGTCCAGATCTTGCTTTTCCCAACTTTTACATCCTCTCCAACACTCCACCTTGTCCTCCCACCCTGAATCCAAGAGTACCTCTGGTCTGGCTCTGCCCCCATCAGTCTACTCTAGGAATTCCAAAATGTGAATCTTCCCCCAAGGGACACTGGCAATATCTGGAGAGATATTGCTGTCATCAGTGCAGAGCCAGAGACAGGAAGCAGGGCTATTGGCATCAAGGGAGTAGGGATGAGGACTGCTCTTCAGCACTGTAGCACAGGATACCCACACCACTGAAAAAGCTCCAGTCTTAGATGCAAATAGTGCTGAGGTTGAGAAACTACTAGACAGTGCAACTTGTGTATCCCTATCACCACCCTCTGATTCTGGAGACCACACTGTGATCACATCTCTTCCCAGGCTACAGGGAAGGGTCTTCAGGCAGTGACCAGAGTTTTCTAACCCTGCCTTTACTCATGCCTGCATTTCTAATTCCTTGGCTCCTGACAGCTTTCAATTCCTGGGCAAATTGGATGGTGGGGATTGGTTAAAGAAAGATCCCCAGTCCTAGCCCTCTCTCTGGACCATCCTCAAATTGAGGCTAGTCCAGCAATTGCATCTGTTGGGCTCTGGATGAGATGCAAGTTCTCCCAGCATGTTAACCTTGGCCCAGGCAATTGGCCTGCTCCCCAATTGGCACACTTGCCACATTAGGCGGGTGTGGTGGGCAAAGGAAATGCAGGCCAGGATTCCTGTGGTCGCTCCAAAAGTTAGCTCCACAGGCAGATAATAGAGAGTTGGCTCTATCTGTGTGTGGGGTCCTAGGAGGGGATTTGCTTCTAGGACTTAGACCTGAAAAGGGGACCAGGAAGGCAGGCACAGACTCTGCAGTTCAGGCTAGATGTGCTCAACTGGCTGGTAATGGTTTACTACCAGTTACATGCCAGGCCTTAGATGCTGCTGTGGACTGGGCCTCAGGAATTCATGTGCTAGCATTGCATGGGTGAGCAGTCATCTAGAGAAGGAACCAGGTAATTTCAGAGAATGCTTAAAAATGAAACAGGTGAGCAGAGAGAAACTGCAGGAGCTCACTAGGTCAGGGAAGGGCTCTTCAGGCAGAGGGAAGGGCCAGTGAAAAGACTCTAAGGTTAGAAAGAGCTTGAGGTTTCCTTAGGAGTCAGGGCTAAGTGAGGAGGGATGTGAAGCTGGAGAGACTGCAAAGGTCTGACCTCACAGGGACTTACTTGTAGATGAGGACTGGGATTCTGGCTTTCATTGTAGACATGATGAGAAGCCAGGTGAGTTCTTACTGGTTGTGACAGGGGGGAAAAAAATCACCCTATTTGGGGCCCTCCCTGGTGGCGCAGCAGGTTAAAGCACAGCACTGAGAAGCTAAAGCCACTTCCGCATGAGTTCGATTCCCACCTGCCCCGGAGGTGACCACATGGCGAGGCAGACCTCTCCTGACCTGCCCGCTGCTCCCCTCAGCAGTGTACTTTGTAGATCTGCTTGTTCTGCTCCCCACTCTGTCTCTGGTGAAACCTCTCACCCTCCGCATCTCTGGTCTGTACCCCAGTTCTGTATGAACAAATAAATAATTTTTTTTAAAAATCACCCTGTTTGAAGAGTGGGAGCAAAGAGAAGAGGGTGGAAGGCAGCAAGACCCTGGAGTCCCCCTCCTCCAGAGAAACTCCTTTTAGGGCTCAAGAATGCAGAGGCCAAAGGCCTCTGAGGGGAAAGGAATATGGAACCAGCTGGCCCTTCCAAGGTGCCCAGAAGGGATCCTGGAACTGGGGTGCAATGGGCCCCAGCCCCTCAGGGTCTCCCCTCTCTGTTGCAGACGGGCAGCCCCATCCCGGCCTCAGCGAAGCCCTCCCCCGTGCCACCTCCGCCACCCATCGGATCAGCAGCTGGTGAGTGCCATGCTGGCCCTGACCTCAGGGAGGGCAGGGAGGGAAGGTAGATCCAAGAGAGGCTCCTGGGAGAGAAAAGGGGCTAGAAGGAAATCAGGAAACCAGGCAAGAAGAGGTGACTCCCGGTAGGCAAGCCCCTGGGTATGTGAAGGGGTGGAGGGGAGGCCCAGGATGTACACAGACAGACAACTCTCATTATCCCTGTCATGAGCAAGATCAGAGAGGCAGGGGCCTGGAGATCGGTCTTTTTGAGTCCTGCCTCTGACAGAAGACCCTTAGAATGATGCTAGACCTCTCTGAGCCTCAGTTTCCTCATCTGTAAAATGGGGTCCTTAAGATGCATCTCATGAACTTGCCTACAGGACGCAAGGGACTTGCAGTAGAAGCAGGAATTCACAGCAATGTTGACACCAGTGACTCTTTATTAAATGGTTTGGCAGGTGCTAATAGGTATCAAAAGGCATATTAGGGTTAATAACTCTCAATTGTTGATGCTTGCTGTGTTTAGACTCTTGGCATATCTTAATGTGCTGAACCTTTGCCACAGCCCAAAGAATGAGGCGGAAATGGAGGGGAGATTATCCTGTTAGTATTGCTTGTCAACTGTGGGGCTTAGAGATGTGGCCCTGTGATTTCTACTTTGTCATTAAGTGGAACCTGTTTTAGCATCTGTTCCATGAGGGGATCTATGGCCTTTGATGAAGGCAAGATTTTAAAAGACAAAGGGAGATCTACCAGGAACTGTCAATATAAGAAACCACATTGGTAATGGGTTTTCTGGGAGTTAGGCATTAGGTGAAGCAAAGGGTTTCTCCAGCACCACAACAAATTGTGCCATCTCCTCCTTATACTTCTCAGGGTCAAGGAGTCACCTATTGTAAGGTAGTTGGGATCATTTAAACAAGCACCTGCTGTTTGTTGAGTTGTTTTTGGTTACAGGTATGAGAAGCAGCTCCTTAGATGCTGTTGCATAGGACACAGCGGTTCCTAAAACTTGTCCCCATTTTTAGGATTGGAAAACCGAGGCTCAGTGAGGTTGCCTCACCTTCCCTTTCCTCCATACGAGGTAACTGGATCCAGAGGCTTCAACCTCTCCTCTCTCTGCCCTTACAAGAACAGAGATTCAGGGGAATACTGCATTCCCTTGAGTTGTTTATGCTATAGCATCTCACCAAATTTGGTGGAAAGATAAAATTAACAAAAGCACCCCACTTTGGGAGGACAAGACAGAAACAGCCTGGAACACAGGTTAGAACATTGGGCCCTTCAGGGGGACAGATGAGAGTTGGCTGTGACACCAGACCTGGGGACACTTGTGACCCCAGTTACACTCTCCATGATGCAGTGGGGCTGGACAATAGGACAGGTGCATCCTCGGAGTTGAGCCTGGTTATTGAACCAGTGGCTGTGGAAGTGTCTCCCAACACTCATCCCCATATTCCCAGCCCCCTCTGAGTTACCCATAAACTGGGTTTCTGGTACTTGTCTCAGACTACCTGGGAGGATCCCTCCCTTGCCTTAGGAAGGGAAACTGAGGCCATGGCTAACCTGTCCCCATTGGCACTTCCTTGCAGCTGCTGGGATGGAGGCAGCCTAGACTTCCGGCCGGGCTCCCCACTACCCCATCTTCTGGGCCACTTTTCTGGTCCACCTGATGGCCAGGGGCCCTGGGAGCACCCTCTGGTCCAGGAGGCCAGGGAGAGCATCCCATCTGAGCAGAGGTTTGAGGACTCAGTCATTGTAAGAACTGTGAAGACCCATCCTGAGCTTGAGGGCTCTAGAAGGTTCTTGCATCCCCAGTGTGAACCGAAGATCTTGGAGAAGGTCTCCCGGGGCCTCCCCAGGTTGGACTGGCTCCCAGATGGAGATGAGCAGCCTCCACCTCAGGATATAGGGCTACACCTGGACCTGCCATCTCAGCCACAGCCCCTTACCTCCTTCCGGACTGTGCTAGTGCCAGTAGAGGATTCCACTAAGACACTGGATGTAGTGGCAGCTGGCACCAGAGAGCACCTGATGGACCTTGAAGGGCTAGCCCAGCAATCTGATGAGTGGGATCTTCCCAGGTCAGCCTTAGAGGTGGCCACACAGACCTGGACAGTGAATTCAGAGGCATCTGTGGAACGACTTCAGCCACTGCTGCCCCTGGTCCGAACAGGACCATACCTATGCAAGCTGCTGGAAGAGGTGGCGGAGGGGGCAGCCAGTGAAGATGAGGATGAGGATGAGGAGCCTGCTGTGTTCCCCTGTATTGAGTGTAGTATCTACTTCAAGCAGAAGGAGCACCTGCTGGAGCATATGAGCCAGCACCGCCGAACCCCAGATCAGGAGCCCCAAACTGACCTAGCCCCATTGGCCTGTGGAGAGTGTGGCTGGGCCTTCACTGACCCAGCAGCCCTTGAGCGGCACCGGCAGCTGCATCAGGCATCCCGGGAGAAGATCATCGAGGAGATACAGAAGCTGAAGCAAGTTCCAGGAGATGAGGGCCGGGCGGCAAGGCTGCAGTGCCCCAAGTGCATCTTTGGCACCAATTCCTCCAAGGCCTTTGTACAGCATGCCAAGCTGCACGTGCGCCAGCCGCAGGGCCAAGCAGCCAAGGAGCCTTTTGGGGGCAGCAGTGGGACAGGCAGCCCAGGCCCTGATGTTACCACCCTCACCTATCAACCCTACCAGGGTTCCTCGGGCCTCAGTGCCTGTGTTTTCTGTGGCTTCCCCGCACCCAGTGAGAGCCTGCTCAGGGAGCATGTGAGACTTGTACATGCCCGTCCCCGCTGGGAGGAGGATGGCGAGGCTTTGGATGAGGACCCTGCCAGCCAGCCGGGTACCAGCCAGGATGTGTATGCCCGCTTCTCCACTGAAGACTACTTTGGCAAAGCTGAGCCACTCTTGGCCCCCACGTGGCGGGAGAAACCTGCTGGATACAACCCCAGTCTGGCCTTTGGCCCAGGCTGCCAGCAGCTGGGCTTGAGGGATTTCCCACTGTCAAAGCCTCTCCTTCCACATGGCTTGGGCCAGAGGCCCCTAGGAAGCCCAGCCTTTTCCTCACCAATAGCATCTTCCCCCTATTCCTTACAGCCCAGTAGAAGCAGAAGCAGTGTCCACCCACAGGGTCTCCCAGCCCAAATGGAGGACCGGAGATACCCTTGGAGTGAAGAAGAGGAAGAGGACATACCACTGGTATCAGAAATGGACTTTTCCCCAGAAAATGGCACCTTTCCACCCCAACTTGCCCCTGGCCTCATCCCCCAACCAGCCTTGGCATTGAAGCAAACTTTCCAAGAAGCCCTGAGGGCAGCTGAGGCCTCACAGGAACAGCAGCAGCAGCTCTGCAGAATGGTGCCAGTGGTGCTGGTTGCAAAGCTGGGGTCACAGGTGATGGCTGCTACAGCCAGGATGCCTCCAAGGCTGCAGCCTGAGGAACTGGGGCTGGGGGTTACCCACCCATTGGACTTCCTACTCCTGGAGGCACCACTAGGTGGCCCACTGGGACTGGACACACTCCTGGATGGGGACCCAGCAGTGGTACTGAAACATGAGGAGCGGAAATGCCCTTATTGCCCAGATCGCTTCCACAATGGCATCGGCTTGGCCAACCATGTTCGGGGCCACCTGAACCGTGTGGGAGTCAGCTACAACGTCCGACATTTCATCTCTGCTGAGGAGGTGAAGGCCATCGAACGCAGGTTCTCCTTCCAAAAGAAGAAGAAAAAAGGTAGGGCAGATTGTTCCAGTGCCTACCACCATTTGAGGCCCCAGAGACCCATGCAAAACTGGGCAGCTGAGTTCTGAACTAAGCAATCCTCATTCTAGATCCTCCCTTAGTGCCAGGTAGGGTGAAGTCAGGGCCTTCCCTCCAAGAAGACCTGGGAACCACAGCAAAGGCCAAGGCATCGGTGAAGGTATGGAGATGCCCCAATGCCCAGGCCCTTCCAGCAGCTGGAGAAAGGAGGATGGGAAAAGGCCTCCATCCCAGGCAGGGAATTGTCACTTATTCCTTCATATGATGAATATTGAATGAGGTCCTCTCTGTCCTGGGCACTGGGGATACAACAGTAGACAAAACAGCAGTCCCTGCTCTTCATGGCCCAGAAACAGGAATGGTGGGATACTGGTTGGCTTCAGAAGCTCCCGGGGCAACCCATGAGATATGCAGATCTCCAGACCAAGGTTTGTCTCCAACATTAATACCGTGGGTGGCTCTGAGACTGACAAAAATGGGCCCCCCCGGGGGTGGTGATTAGGTGTTTAAGAATGTGTGTGTGCCTTTGTGTGCGCTGGGGGCATGGGACGGGTTGGATCGTCATGAAGTCATGCAGGTATGTGTTGAGAGAACAGGACTGTGATAGAAGAAGCTGAGGACTAGGGAAATCAAGAGAAGGTCCTGGAGGGTCCAAGTAGGCTCCCAGAAAAGGTGTCCTATCCTTTTGACCATTTGTTTATTCAACAGAGGGTTAACTTACGGCACTGGGGTGGTCGTGGGCAAAAATAGAGAAAGTATTAGGCTGTATATACCATTGGAAATCTGTGAACTTGAATTTACTTGAAATGGTTCAACTAATACAGTAAAGGTATAGATGGCAATAACAACTACATGAAACAATAAACAAATAGAAGAGTTCTAGGTGTGAGAAGGGTATTACTTGAATACTCATCCAAATGATTAGAAGTTCATACCTGAAGAAGTGTTTCTGAGGCTGGTGCTGGGAGTTGGCATTGTTGAATGGGGTTGGGGGAAGTCAAGCAGAGAAGGCTTCCTGGAGTGGGGAACAGCAGTAGCTGTGTCATCCTTGGAGAGAGGGAGGGCTTCCCCAGGAGGCATGGGAGGGCTGGAGCCAGAGAGTTGCTCCCCAAGGCAGTCTATGTTCTCTCCCTCTGCAGTGGCGAACTTTGACCCGGGCACCTTCAGTCTGATGCGCTGTGACTTCTGTGGGGCTGGCTTTGACACCCGGGCTGGCCTCTCCAGCCATGCCCGGGCCCACTTGCGGGACTTCGGCATCACCAACTGGGAGCTCACCGTCTCACCCATCAACATCCTACAGGAGCTGCTAGCCACCTCCTCTGCTGAGCAGCCTCCCAGCCCCCTGGGCCATGAGCCTGAAGGGCCACCTGGTGGCTTCCTGACTTCCCGCCGGCCCCGCTTATCTCTCACAGTGCCCTTTCCACCTACCTGGGCTGAGGACCCTGGGCCAGCATATGGAGATGGTAAGGGGAAAAAGGGTGGGTGGGGATGGAGCCCTGACCCTCCCCAGGGGCTCAGAGAAATGGAATGGAGAAGGGTCAGTTACTGGCTTTTCTAGAAGCATTTCAAGTCACTTTACAAATTATGTTGACACCTGCTTCACAATTACCCTGACACTTAGGGATCGCCTCTTTCTGCCCTTTCTGATAGTGATTTTCAACATATGCCTTTTGACCTTTTACTTGGAGTCAGACAACTCATTTACATCCTTACAACAACCCTATTACATGGGTGTTATTAGCCCCATTTTACAGATGAGGAAACTGAGGCCCAGAGAGCTTAACTTGCCTGAGGTCACACAGCTGGAAGTGGTGGAGCTGTAATGTGTAACCACAGGCTGTCAGATTCCAGATCCTTGCTCTAAGCAAGGATTTTCTATCAGAGCAATACTGTTGTCCAATAGAAGTTTCTGAGCTGGCGGAAATGTTCTCTAATATCTGTACCATCCTGCAGTGTCACCACTGAGCATGTGTGGCTCTTGAGCATATGAAATGTTCCTAGTGCCTAGTAATGGTAATCCTACTGGATAGTGCACATCTATGGTCTGTGTTCCAGATTTTCAAGAGTGCCTACTTTGTTAAGTAGCATTGATAACTCCTCCAATAACTGAGTGTTTTCTGTGTTCTAAGGTTTCATTTATACCTCAAAATAAGTCCGTGGGAGAAGGATTGTTGTTTGTGGGTCAGTCACCTGTTTTGCTAGACTACAAAGCTAGACTGTGGAACTGCTATATGTAATGGTCTCATCAGGGGAGAGTGGCCTGGGAAACCTAGAAGTAATATTTGGTGGAGGAGTTTAAGACTAGACACCTTCAAGAGAGTGGAAGGATAAAGGACCAGAGCTGATAAAATCTGACTTTTTGGGAGTCTTTACTATAAGCTTCAAGGCAAAGAATTTGGCAGTGAAAGTAGGCAGAATCTGGGGAAATGGAAGGTGCCTGAATGGGGAATTGCCCATGGGCTAAAGGCTTTAGACTGAAGCTTCCTTCTATGTTTCTCCTTCCTGAAACTTCCAAGGTCCTACTTAGATCTGTGCCTTGGGTTTGGCTGCACCCATCAGCCAGCCCACTGACTTGAGGGTCTGCACAGGAGTGGCTGGGGCTATCAAAGTCCTCTCTTCTTGACAAGGAGTCTGAGGCACAAAGGATAATGTCTGGTTGAGGTCACTTGAGGAGGAAGGGATAGGGAGTCGTGACTTCAAGCTTACTTGCCTTTGCATTCAACTGACACACGTGGCTAGGTGTCTCTGAGGTAGTATGAAGGCAGAGTTACTTTGAGGGAGTCTGAGAGGCACAAGAGACAGCCCTCCGCCACCCCCTAACTTCCCCATTCCCACCCCTTCTCTGTTACTTCAGTACTGGCATGCGTGTCAGGCTTACACCCACTATCTAGCACCTCTGGATACAAACATGTGCACAGCAGCCAGGTTCAGCTCTGAATAAGTTGTTTCCAGCAGGAGAGGAGTGTGCTAGCCCCAGCTAGTGTTGAGGGAGTTGGCCGAGCCACTTGTGCATGTGAGGAGGCAGCCTCAAGTAGCGGTGGCCTTGTCCTTGGGAGCTGGAGCTATCGTCAACCTTTCAGTGAACACCAGGAGGGGAGGGCAGCGGCAGGTTAAAGAGCGGTTGAGAAGAACCTGCCAGTTTCCCCTTGAGGAAGGATGCTCAAGATTAGAGAAAGGTAGGCAGCAGCCCTTCAGGGCTGTCTTTAGAAACGTCAACCCACCCTACCTCCCTAAAAGGGCCAAAGGAGGTGGAGCAACGGTCAGACTCTGGCCACACCCAGCTGTCAAAGAACAGCTGAGGAATAACGGTTTTGGCACTGGAAAGGGAGAAGTTGGTAGTGTCTAAAAGTGCGGGCGGTGCATGGAAGTCCGTATGGCTGCCAACAGCGCTGTTGGGGAACAGTTGAATACCAGGATTATGTTTGGGGAAGAGGAGTGGAAAATACTCGTGATTGAGAACTAGGTGTTTTCCAGGGTTCCCGAAACGAGGCGACGACTCCCAGAGAAGGAAATGGAGCTGGGTTCCGTGGGAGATCCTAGAGCTTCACACGTCGGGGCTCCAGGAGCCTGAATACGTGTGGTCCGAGAATTCCCATCCTAACTTTAGGGATATCCCGGAGCGGGAGGATGTGGGAGAGGTGAGCGTCCGGCCCGTCGGGGCCCGGGTGGCGTGCCTGTATTTGTAAGTCTGGGCGCCAGCTGCTACCTGATGTTTCCTTCCAGCCAGTGGACTAGGGCAAGGTGGGAATAGGCATTTAGCTTTCGGCGCTCGGCGCTCGCACGACTGCCCTGGGTGCGCCCCTAGGGGCGGGGCGGAGCGGAGAGGTTGGTGGCGCCGCTCGGCGCTCGGCTGCTCCCGCCTGGGGCGGCCGCCCCGCGTGCCGCTCGAGGCGCTGGGCAGCCCCACAGGCAGCCAG